GCATAAATTGATATTAAATATTAAGAAACCATAACCTAGCATTACATATTAAGAAACACATGCATTATATGATACATGCTCTTTGGGGAAGTGTAAGATTCCCTTACAAAGAGAAAGTAATAGCCTAGAAATATAAAAGACCTGTAAGGCAATATCTATCTATAACCAGTTCTTAAATTTGCAAACATGTTAATAAATTAGCAATGGAAAAAAACTATGTGGTATTTTCTTTTTGCTACCAAAAATATTTTGCAGATTAATACTGCATCACAGATATAAATATCATACAGCAAAATAGTGTGCTCCTCGGAGAAATGGTACTTATTTACAAAAGAAATACTATTTTCATAACATCAGTTAAGATGAAAAAAAGGTAAGCATGCATTGACTTGTGTCAAAAAGATTTCAGGGAATCATGGGAAGGTGGAATTTACCACAAATCTATGCCTAAGACTCTCTGCCACAGGGCCTCAATCCTGTTCTTAATGCATTCTTGTTATCAGAGATGGGTATTCTTACATTACTATCAGTCATTAACATCCTAGAATAAAGTAGCCTGAAAGATTGGCGTGGCTATTAACACATACATTTCTAAGGAACTATACATGTTTTGATTAGGAGCAAGAAAATGTGGCAAAATTGCAAAGGACATTCATATCACAGGCTGACTTAAGTCAATTAGATAAGCTAAGAAATAGCAATAAAGGATGGGTGATGAGAGACCTCCAGTTCACTAAGAGATATGGACACTAAGCTAAACTACAGAACTGCCATGATCAAGATCTGGCCCTGAAAAGGAGAGAAAAATCACATAATGGTAACCATGATTTAGTGATTATCTGATAGAATATTTATTGTGTTAAGTTCTTGCTTTTTGAGGTTTAAGAAAAAATCACCAAATTACTTTCTCACTCTAGTGAATCATGGAATAATGACCTGGATTATATTTCCATTAAGGTCACATCTCTATAGGAAGAAAAATGAGAAAAAAAAAATTTAACTCTGAAAGCTATAGTACTTAGGAAAGAAGAAAGTAGATATTACAAATAAAAAGAAACAATGAGCCAATTGGAGGCTTATGAGGACATTATTAAAAAACAATCATTCTAATTTTCAACAAGGAATCTATAAACATATTTGAGCTTTGTATGTGTGGCTCTGCCAGATTTTTGTGGTCTTCAGTCTCAGTCTGGCACCTCTAATGTTCACACAGACTGTTTCAAAATGAAATTTGCAAAACAAAGAAAGATCAAAGTAAATTTAAATATGTGGGTGAGCTGAAGGATCTGTATGTGGAAAAGATTTCCAAGATAGAAGCTATGATCTTTAAAAGACAACAACAAATCACCAATGGAACCCAAACAAAATGTCATTTAGGTCCAGAGGTTGAAGCATTTGTACAATTAGGCTTGGATTATGGACTTCTCAATTAATTTCTGACTTTCAGGTATTTTAAGGCCACAGTTTCTAATTCATTTCATGAAGAATACAACAGGGCAGAAAGTCAAATTTATGAAGGTCAAATGGGTGGAGCCTTAAAATTTATTTAATAAAGCCATATCTTATTCAAGAGGTTGAAACTAAGGCCTAGGGAGAAGAGACTTGCTAAAGATTACACAATTTCTCATGCTAAAGGAAAAAACAGATTCTACAGCTCCTCAAAACTGCCAAGACTTCTTTCCCTGTATCACCAAACTCCCCTTAAGGCACAACATAAAACAATGGAACATGAGGGACCAACTTACCATAAGTCATACTTGAGTTTTGGCAGCATCCTACTATTTCTTAAAGGCATAGCTATCTAAGTTACTAAAGACTGACAGTACTATTTCAGTGAAGTTTATTGTTCACATGAAACCATTACGAAGTATAGTAAGAGACAGAACAAATTTGATTTTGAAGTTGACTTTTTGTGCTTAGAGCATGTGATGAGGGAAAATGTTCTGACAGTTCAAGCTTACTCAAGCTTAATGACAGATCTAAATTGGAGCTTGGAGATAAAAGAAATTCTTTAGTGATGCCTCAGTTGTCATTGATTGCTATGAGCAATTTTAAAGCTATTCAAGATGAGAATTGCCAGCTTGGTTCTAAAAGGGGAGAAAGTGGTACACAAGATTAGAGGCTGGTACAAATGCTCTCTTGGTTTAAAAAGAGGACAGTTTTGTATCACATACATAGGTGACAATCGTGACTACATATAGACATTTATCAGCAGGAAATGACTCAATGGATGTTCAAAGTAGTGTAAGCACCAGCTGTGCTAAGGAAGATGAAAACGAAAGGCGATTTGCCTTATAAGGATCCACAGCAGTAAGATGGCTGAAAAAAATAATGAAAGCAGTTTCTGAAGCTGAGAGCTAATAAAAAAAATAATAAAAACTATCTTCATAAATTATAGGATATCTTCCTCCTACTTGCTGAAAATCTCTGAATTAAAAAGATATAGAGTCCATTTTGAGAAATTCAATTTCATCAAATGGAAAGTGAAAGCATCTCCAATTCTACATATACACTGAAGCCTTCATGCCCCATTTGCACTACTCGTATTGAATTCCATAATAAGTTTCTACCTATTGAGTCCAAATAAATGGCAGTTATCAAAATGTTCTATTTTTAATTGAACTTTAAAGTCATTTTCTGTCTATTACTTTATCCTTATAAAATATCCTATATTCTTGAGACTATTAATTAATATGTTTTCTCCTAAATAAGTTAATAGTATCATTCATTTAAAAATAGAAATGAGAGTAGAGAAATTAAGCAGTCACCAATATATTTTTCCACAGAAAAATTCTATCCATGGGTAGAAGAGATGGCCTGAGAAAAAAAATAAACCACCAATAGACACTCTCCTCTGGACCACTCTTAACTATCTCTCATTCCCTAAATAAACTGCATATTCACACTCTGTGCTTTTTAAATGAGGTTGTCCATCTATATGAAATACCTTTTGTCAGCATGCTTTACCTCATAAATATAATGAATCCTTCAAGCCCTAACTCCAGTATCACTTTAATGATCAGAAATCTGTCCTAGTGAAATAAATACTCCCACTCTGTATTTTTACAGCACATACTTCCAGCACAGCAGTATTACGTATCATTTGTTTACTTACCTATTTACTCCACCATAGGGTAGTGACTACCCTATAATATCTTATTCACCTCTGTATATGTTCCAGTATTTAACAAATTGACCAAATATAACAAGTACTAACCAAAATATTTGCTTAATAAACAGATGAAAATTGACCTTATATATTTCTTTGAACTATAATTTTCTTTCACTGAAAATTACCATAGCATATGAAATCTAGCTCCATATTACCCAGCCAGTGATTTTTCCTTTTACATATTTCACAAAAAAATTTCCTTTCTGATTCTAACATTGTATGTATGAGAGAAAATCATTTCAGTATGTCTGTTTCCCATTTAAGTATTTGTTAACAAAGGAAAATGCACAGCAATTGAATGAGTGTTTGTGCTATGAGGTAGATAACATTTGTCCCCTTATTTTGCAGTAATGTAGAGTAATTGACCAAAAAAGGGATTGATAAATATAGAAAGGAAAAGGTGCTATAGAAATTTCGGAATCCACCTCCCTTCAGAACACTGTGTGGGCTAGAAGGGGAGGAAAGACCTCACACAAGTGTCTTTGTATATACATACACATTCACATCTTGTTAGTCTCTGACCAACTCATCTGCATTGGTACAATCTCAGTTTCTCATTGTATCATGTTGCCTGCCAACACATATTTCTTCACACAATCCTTTTACAAGAAACAAAATATATATATATATATTGTTATTTGAGTGGACATGGGCATACAAATCAGATTTTCTTCATAAAATGAACTTACAAAAAATATACAAATTTCACAACAAAAACAAATATTTTAAATGTAATTATACCACTCCAGGGGAAATCTCATAGTCCACAAATGTTACAAGTTTACTAATAATATGCCCAAGCCCCAATACTCTGGATATTTACCCTTTTGTATCTTTCTTTTTTTACTAGAAATAATCCTACTGGCAAAATGCTGTCGTTTCCTATACCAAATCAAGAGCTGCATAGTCTTGCATAAAGTACTTTCTAAGAAAGATACTACATTATGTTCACTTTCTTAATTTGAAGTAATAAGGGGATAAGGGGAAAGTTCATTAAATTAAACTTCCATGTGTGTGTTTCTTCTCCATGAAGGTGTATGTGATGCTATTCTTGAGCCAGAGCAAATACAGTCTTGACTTTTTCAAGAATGTATATAATCAGTCTAAATGAGATAGTTGCACTTATTGTGCCCTATTTTTAGTTGAACAGTCATGAAAAGGATCTAACAAGATATTTGAAATTCTACCATGTTTTACTAGAAAAAGAGCATCATTTTTGTACCATTTGTTTACACTACAAAATTACTGAGAAGCAAAACAATATCCAAGATGACATTAGCACATTATCATTCACATTTTTGTAATATAAAATGTTTCTACTTTCAGTCATGCTCTGAAATTATTTCAAGAATGATACTGATGCTAGAGCAAAATAATAACAAAATTGATAAAGAGGGACTGCAGTGTCCATCTTGTAATAATAATACTGCCTTGTGGTTTTCTTGACGTAATAAAGTGGAATCTCATAGTACCCATCACTCCAGAAGAACTTTGGAAAAAGACAGCAATTCCTAAAAAATCACATAAAATTGAATAAATTAAAATAGAAGTGCTGACTTATTTTGAGGCCTAAAAGACACAATGCAGTCTACCGATTTGTTCCTAGGAAGAGACTTAAGCACTGTCTCCATACATCACTATTCATTAATACCAAAAGAGATTTTCTGATAAATGTATGACCACTACTTCCATTCCAGTCTGCATCCATGCCCGGCTCATCATACAATGGGCATTCAATTAAATGTTCATGGAATGATTAAATGATTTATTTGGGCTATGTGTTCTCCATTAGTCTGAATATTGTGGAACTGACTGTATTTTTACTCACTCTGAAGTAGATCCATCATCCAGAATGTCTGAGAGGTGCTACACTGGAACAGCGGCCATCAGGGCTTTGGGGACAGTGATGAGGCTCCACTGTGGGGTATGAAGACCACGCAAGTCCAAGGCTTCAGGTCAAAATGGTCCATAATATCAACTCCAGAGGGGGCTGGGTCCAGGAGGCTGGTAGGGCTTTCACAAGAAGGCTGAAGAGTATCAATACTTGGGAGAGAAGACTAAAGAAGAACTGGCAGCCTTGAGGGAACACCATGAAGATGAGATTACTCATCATAAGGACACTGAGTGTCTGCAGAAAGAAATTGAACATCATAAGCAGAGGATCAAGAAACCAAAGCATCATGAAGATGATTAAGTGCACACAGTTTGTCATAGAATGACTACATATCATTGCCCTCTTCTATGCAGAAGTTGTGGATTAATTGATATGTATCTGTGTGCTGCCAACAGATTTAAATAAATTGTCATCGGTGAAAAAAAATCCAGAAAGTAAAGAAGTCTGGGTTTGAAATTTTAATCCATCAAAATAGTCTTTTAACATTCCTTTAACTTTGAAACATAATAATTATATTATCAATCTTTGTTTCACTAATACTGCTGAAATGAGGTTTTATTTTTTAAAACAGTAAGACATTGTTGATTTATAGAGAACTCATTTTTTATTCTCTTCCTTTGCCTTTGGTAACTAAGAAACAGAGATCATTTAATTACACACATATATGAAAATAATTTATTTGCTCTTATAATAGGTATATATTCCTTGTTTTTTAATCTAATCATTCAGGTAAATAATACAATCTCATGTTTCCCTCTAAAGCATGAATCCAGGATTTTCATATGAAAAAGAGAAAATCACATTCTATCATGTCAGAGAACACACATTATCTTTGAGATTCTTAAAGTTTAGCATAACTGAAAGCTATCTGATTACTATGGTTTCAATGACCAAGCCTATACAGCCTTCAACTTTCCAAACAGTAATGTACTGCTTTTTAAATGTAAAATAAATTAATGATTAAGGATGATAAATAGAGCAGGGCCTTATCAAACCTAGAAAAATTGGACTGATAACTGTAACCAAATGATAATATGATATCAAATTAGATTTTTAATTAAATGACATTTAATTTCTAGTTCATATAACAGGTAGTACTTAAAATTCAAAGATATGGGATGATACAACTGAGGAGACAGTTCTGGGCAAAAGAAAGCACTGTAAATAACAATTAGCAAGATGCTTCTGTGATTTTTTTTTGTATAGTAAACTTAGAATTTTCACTATATTCTGGAAGCATTCTATAAAGTGTACAGTTAAAAAATGTTCTCTTTCAAGAGATCCTGAAAGAGAAGCTGAAATTATAATCTCTTACTTGGTCATTTGTTTTGGTTGTTTTTGCTAGTGTTTCTGCCCCCTTTTTGCATTAATATATAATAGCTTTGAAACTCTCATCACAAACTCGGGGTGAAAAATATGTAACTTTATTTTCCACAGCTCAATACCTTCTATATGGGCTTTTTCCACCTGGGGTTTCTTGTCTATTCGGAGTTTTCAAGTTATTTTATGGTTTCCTCTCAATTCAGGGCCTCAATACTATCCAATGGTTTTAGTTGACATTCTGTGAAATTTAGAGAAACAGAAATCTCAGGGATATGGGTGGGGTGTCTAATCCTAGCCTAATCCTAGTCTAATCCTTGTTATGTATACACTAAGATACTCATTCCCTATGAGTCAGCAATAGATGTGTTGGTTAAAATGAAGGCAAGTGGCTTAAACTCTCTGTATTTCAGTTTCCTCTTCAGTAAGATGGACATAATAAAATGTAGCCTACATAACTGTACTGTTGCGATAGTCAATATCTGGAAAGTAAAGGATAAATGTAAGCTATTGATAGTTATTATCCCATCCTGTAATAAATCTTTAATCCATACAATTTGCTGACTGGTCCCTATTTCTGATCCCACTTGTTCAAGCCACTGATACATACATACATACATACATACATACATACATACATACATACACCTCCCGCATTTCAAACACATGACCTCTTGTGCTTTCTCTAAGCTTTGTTGGTATCCTTCTTGGAAAGACAGAAAACATTTAAAATTCTAAGGCTGTCTCAAGTTGACCTCCCTAGACATACCAAATCATGCTTGGCAAAGTTAAAAGACTGAGACCAGATCCATTTTGGTGGTTTGGTTGGTATAAAGAAGAGGATCAAGGCAAAGGACCATTTTTTTAATTCTTCGCCTCCACTACACCACCTGTGCCCATGCCCGATCTGCCTCCCTCCCCAATTGCCTCTAACTTTTTCCCTATTCCCTCCGGCAATCGTTATCTTCTTTTATTGCCAAGTTCAAATTTTTATTTCTTCTATTATTTATGTGTAATTGTTTTGAAGTTGTACTCTGCAAGTGAATGAAACTACCCAAAATTTGTCTTTCACTTTTGTCTGATTTCACTCAATATAATCACCTAAAGGTCTATCCATTTTCCACCAAATGCCACTTGATCTTTTTCACAACTGTGTAATATTCCATTGAATAAATGCTCCACAGTTTTTCTACCCATTCTTCTGTTGAAGGGCACATAGGTTGGTTCCATAATTTGGCAGTTGTAAACAGAGATGCTATGTACATAGGTGTAGTTAGCTCTTTTACATCAAATTTTTCATGTTACTTAGATAGACAACTAATAGCAGTATTGCTGGGTCAAATGAGATTTCCACAAGGGCTGTATCAGCATGCATCCCACCAACATTGGATAAGAATTCCTTCATTTCAATCTCACTTAAAGTGCCTATTTAGGCCCCTTGCCCATTTTTTTTAATTGGGTCATGTGTTTCTTTATTGTTGAATTAATGTAAGGTACTTTGTAAATTTAGCCCCTTATCAGATGTGTGGTACACAAATATTTTTCCCATTCTGGAGGCTGCCTTTTCATTTTTGTGATAGTTTCTTTTGAGATACAAACACTTTTAAGTTTGCTATAACCCCAACTTGTTTATTTTTGGTTTTGTTTCCCTTGCTGCTGGGGTGGTGTTCCTAAATACGTCTTTGTGATAGATGTCCTAGAGTGTGTCCTCTATATCTTCTTTCAAGTACTTCATGGTTTCAGTTCATATATCTGAGTCCTTAAGTGTGTCCTCTATATTTTCTTTCAAGTACTTCATGGTTTCAGTTCATATATCTGAGTCCTTAACCCATTTTGAGTGAATTTTCATGCATGCTGTTAAATGTGGGGCTTGCTTTTATATATATATATACACACACACACACACACACACATATATATATATATATATATAGAGAGAGAGAGAGAGTTTGTTTCTCTAAGCATATTAGCATGTTATCTGAGAATAGTAAGAGTTTAACTTCTTTCCAATTTGTATTTCTTTTATGTCTTTTTCTTGCCTAATGACTTCATCACAGAATTGGAGGGCTATGTTGAATAACAGTGGTGATAGTGAGCATCACTGTCTTGTTCCTGATGTTGATGGAAATACTCTTGTTCCTGAGTATGATAATGGCTGTTGATTTGACCTATATTTTTAATTACAAACACGTGAACACCCCTCAGCATGTTCTTCCCTTCATCTACTCCCACTTAACTCTCTAAAAGGCAACAAAAATTTAATTTTATCTGGGGGAATGGAGGTAGTAGGGAGTTTTCTCTGACTTGATATTTTATTTTTTCCAAATTTATTATTCATGGGATATATCTGATACCCAGAGTTCTTCAAGTTTTAGGCATTTGCAGGTCAAAAGTACCATTTTGTTACCGTTATATCTAAAGAGATCATCAAAATCTGTAATTACTTACTTTGGGACAGTGAATATCTCATAACCTCATGTGGAACAAGGGAGAGAATAGTTTGGGGTAGCAAAAATTTCTGGGGAAACATAGAAACTAATCTATTAAAATTCTACCAGCTACAATATTAAAGCAACAATAATGTTCTTTTATTTGTGTTAAATAGCTAAGAATTAAGACACACTTTAAGCTGATTCAAATTTTCATTCCAGAATTTCTCTACCAGTGAATGATTTTTCAGAACATAGACAAGTTCTAGGAAGTTATATGCTATTAAAACTCTCAAAATCATTAAAATATAAAAAAGATTCAATAAAAATGAAAAATGAAGTTTTATTTGTAAACACAAAATTCCATTTTTACAAGGAAAACACACAAAATCCCATAAGCTAAAGACTGTGTGTTATACTTGCCAGGAAATCTGTGAGAAGAAAATAACTTAATGTGTTTCATCTGTAGTAAGAATTATCCAGGATTTTAAGAAAACAAAAAAAGTCAACTTTACAATAGTAGCCTGAGACCCACAAGATGAATCAATGTTGCCCTACCTTTCTTTAAAATGATATAGCTGAAGCATGTTAGCCTATCTTCTTGAAGTGATATGAGGAAGATGCACTATTTTCAGCAATTCATATCAGTTAAGCACTAAAAATGACTAAAAAACAGGTTAAAAGAAATCTACCTCTAGAGTAAAAATAAAAATTTCATATAGTTGTTTTTCTCTCCTTTGCAGGAAAGAAAAACCCTTATGTGATTTATTTTTAATTGGGAATACAGTATAATTTAAAACTAGGGAATTTTTTAAAATGTGTACCAGAAAGAAATTACAACATGAATAAGACAGAAAAAAATTTAAGGACTCAAAAACCATTTTAAATTACCTAACACTGGAAGGCTAATAAAACTACCTGATTTAAAGTTTTATCATAAGTTACGTAGAATATAGGCCTTGGCTAAATTTTTCCCCATTGAATCTTCAGTATTCGGAACATTGAATAAAATATGAAAACCATTCCATAAATACTAGCTGAGTAAAAAAAAATCATTTTATCCTCACTACACATTTGTTATATAATGAAGGGACTCTCATTTTCACTTGAATTTCATAAACAGAGATGGTGAGTGATTTTATTTTCAAATAACAGTCATAGGCATGAGACATTAGCAAGTCTTAATCCAGTTAAGTGCTCTTTCTTCAAGAGCAGAGCAAGATTTCTGAAATTACCAAAGCATTTGTATATCACTGATGACTTGGAACTACTGTTTTAAATATATACAGATGTTGCTAAGTACTTTGTTAGACTCAGAAATAATGAATTTTTTGGTTTTGTTATAAAACTCTGTGTTAAAGGACAAACATAATTTCTTCCTAAGCAGTTGTTCATCTAGTCATTCATTCATCTATCCTTTTTTTCTCAATGCTATCACTCAACACTACAATAAGGAATCCATACAAATAAAATAAAGCTGACAGA